ACAAACAAAACAAAACAAAACAAAACCCAAAAAAACAAAAAAAAACACAAAGTCTAACACAAAAAAGCCATAAGCCGATCAGATGTAACACTTGCCCCACAATGGAAGGGAAGTTCAATGACCTATGGGCAGTACGCATGACGTCACTATTTTGATCCTACATTCAACTGTCAATATGGAGTGGCGCGAAACGTAAAAGATCGTGGTGGAAAAATCCTGTTATAAAACTAGATCCCTAGGGGCCGCTAGAGTGTTGTTACGTTCCCAGTCTGTGTTGATAGAGACTCAGTCTGTGTTCCCTTCTCGGACAAGGGCGAAAATTCTCGGAGGGCCCGTGTGCAAGTTGCGCACGTTAAAGATCCCTTGGTGGTCTAAAATCGATCAGAGTAGGCTTCAGCCGCCACCCGGGCAAAATTCAAAATTTCCTACCAACTGAAAATACTAGGTGTGTCCCGCGCGCTCATATGACCTTATGCAGTTGCGAGCGCTGTAAAACACTTTACAAAAACAAACAAACAAAGTCTGTGTTCATTTTGGCATTGCTGGACGGTCCAGGAACAGATTTTTGTTTTGTTTTGGTAAGTGTTTTACTGCGCTCACAACTGAATACGGTCGTATGAGTGCGCTGGACTGAAGAAACATTTTCAGTTTGGTAGGAATTTATAATTTTGAATTTTCCCAAGTGGCGGCCGAAGCCTACTCTTATAAATTTTAGGACCACTAAGGGATCTTTATCAGGCGCAACTTGCACACGAGACCTACGAGATTTTTGCCCTTGTTCAAGTAAGATATGTGTTAGATCTTACATATTACTCTCAGATAATACTTTTAATCTACGACACTTATATGACCTATTTGTGTTGCAAATGCCGTAAATATTACACAAAAAAACCCAATACCTACAAGAACGGACAAACAGGAAGCAAGCAGGACAGAAACATCAAATCAACAGTTCTGTCGACTCACTTGTCTCAGTCTCCTGCTGTGGTCCACCCTCAACACACTGGGGAAAACAAGGACAGATGAACACGATTGTTACTGTTAGACACAATATGATACCTCAGAAGAACAAACTTCTATCTGCTCAGTTCCAATTTTTCAAAATTTTGACGTCAATTTTTTAATATATTTTTTTAGCTTTTGTTTCAGAATAATAATGTCATGTCAAGCTTTTTCGAATGCGATTCTTCGATTATCTTATAACTCCGAATATTCTTACGATTTTAATAGATCAGATAGAACCTTAATTTGGTTTCTGACCTCATGGTCTTTGTAACTCAAAGCGGGCAAAAACGTCAGATAGAATTTTGTGATTCTGAGGTAGAGAATAGTCTGTTACAACTCCTCCTTTCACCACCACCTATATCACCTGACTGTAATGCAGGTGCCGTAAAACTAGATGAAAGAACCAGTGACATACCCGATTTAAGCTAATACGGGGTGCCCACTACGGACAGGATCGGCCGATCGAGACGATCGCCCGACTCGATCG